GGATCATATGGTTGAACATTTTGGGTATTCAGCTCAATCTATAATATAACAGTCTGTGATCATTAAACTAGTAAAGAAGAGTCAACTAACCATGCGCAAATCCAACTGACATCCAGAGAGCGATTAAATGTGCGGTTTCATTCACCACTCTAGAGAAAAACACCTGAAACCCAGTGAAATATAGTCAAGCTGGTTAGAAAGTATAAAATAACTCTGTATTACAACTAAACATAAGAGAGACACTGAGATACATACCACATACTTGTCAGGGTCATTCATCGCAATAGATTTAAAATACTCTTTAATTATAAAGTCCAATAATGTCCTAAAAATGAAATACAGAAAAAAACATTAAATAAGAGTAAGTCTGAGAATAAATATTACTACCCTCCTGAGTTAAAGTTAATTTACCGCAAGACATCTAACTCTCCGGTTCTAGTTAATATCTCCAGCGAACCAATACGAAACCAGGACCTGGCCAGGCGCAAAACAACCGCTCCTGATGGACACAGAGAACAATCACATGCCATGATTTATAAAGATAAAGACTGATCAAGAACAAAGTGTTCATTTACAGTATTTTTTCATCTGATTGTAGTTTACCTCTTTCTTTTATGACATTGCCGGTATAAAACTGATCCCTCCATACAGGCTCCTCACTTACAACCAGACTGACAAATGATAGACAAAAAAAAAAAAAGCAAAACAACAAAATTTGAACGTGGTAAATACAGTATTAATGTTTTTGTGCATGCCCATTCATTCTCTCCCACCTCACTAATTAGCATAAGGCATCTTCGCATATGTACACATACATATGAGACTGTGTATAAAACACTATTTTACACACATATAAAATAGTGTATAATGTGTATGTTATGCACCTGAGGGCTCTGCTTGTGGGAAGCCCCAGAAAATGCATGGCTTCACTGCACAGGAACTCCCTCACAGAGGAGCGAATCACAGCCCGTCCATCACCAGACCTACGCACACAACATCATGACTATATACTGTATAACAACTAAGAAAAATAATTATGTATTTCTTAAGATAACACACAGTATAAAACAAATACTGTGAAACCACAGAAGCAAAATTCACCTTGAGTACGGTGTCTTTCCTGAGCCTTTCAACTGGAGTTCCCATCTTTCACCTTTTCTGGATAAAAAAAGAGAGACTGTAGACTGGCCTACTCTCATTCAGAACACTTGTCACATTTCTAAACTGAGATATGTTCATTGTTCAGCTGCATGCTTAAATGAATAGTTCACCCCAAAAAAAAAAAAAATTGCCATACGTTTACTCACTCTCAGGTCATCCAAGATGCAGGTGA